GATTCTGACACTGGGTGGTTCGAAAATCTTAATTTTAGCTGATTATCCAATTGGCCAGAATTCAGTCGAATTGTAGATCGGCCTGAAATGAATCTTCAAGTCTATCAGGCACTCCCTAATTTAGTAAGCACTTTCTTAAAGGGACACTCCAGGCACCCAGACCACTTCCGCTCATTGGAGTGGTCTGGGTGCCAACCCTTAACCCTGCAAGTGTAATTATTGCAGTTTTTCATAAACTGCAATAATTACCTTGCAGGGTTAACTCCTCCTCTAGTGGCTGTCTACTAGACAGCCACTAGAGGGCACTTCTGTGTCTATAGCACAGGTTTTCTGTGCTAGAGCGTCGCTGGACGTCCTCACGCTGTGTGAGCACCTCCAGCGTTGCTCAATTCCCCATAGGAAAGCATTGAAAAGCATTTTCAAATGCTTTCCTATGGAGAGCTCTAATGCGCGTGTGCGGCATTGCCGCGCATGCGCATTAGGTGTCCCCGGCCGGCGGGATCAGTCTCGCCCACCGGCTGACGGAAGAAAGGGGAGGAGCGGCGGCGACCTGAAACCACCACGAGACACATCGGCGGGGGTCTCAGGTAAATGACTGAAGGGGTTTTCACCCCTTCAGCAACCAGGGATGGGGGGTGGGAGGGAGAGGGGACCTGCAGTGCCAGAAAAACGGATTGTTTTCCTGGCACTGGAGTGTCCCTTTAATTCAGCAACTCTCCCAATAATGAATTACCAGGAAACAGAATGACACAATTACTGTCTCTCTCCCAACATATTATTAGTGGAGGGAGGGGAGACTTAAGTAATAGCAACTACAAACAAAATGTAGTATGCAATATATTTAAATATAGACATTTATTGAGGGCTGGATTTACATGCTAGGTACCAGCAGGAACAGAATTCTCATGTGCCCCTTACTCCCCTACCAAAAAAGCACATGAAATGATTTTAGGGGATTTTTAAAATGCACATTTCCCCACCTGGGTGAAGATTAATTATTTTTTCATCAGCGTTTTCACAGTTTTTTGTGTTTTTTTAAATCTGATTTTTTTTTTTTTACATTTAATAGTTTGACAAGACCTTATGAATTTTTAATTGCCACTTTTTTGCAAATGAAAAAAAGATGTGAGACAAAAGAAGACAGCTAATGATAAATATTAATTTTTTTATCTTACAGATTTTTTGTTTATTGTCCCACATTTCACTCTTATTGAGGTGACGGTTGTTGGTATCTTTTTTTTTTTTTTGTCCCCTAGTCAATCGGGAGGTGTGACTAGTAGCTTGGAACCCTCTACTTAAGGGGGATTATTTTTATTATTAGACCCCTACCACCGATGGATGGGAGCTGTGGAGTGGACAATAGGTCTCCCCACTTTATTATCTAGGGCTCCCACCTGCCGCCAATAGGTGGGGGCTGTGTGGGTACAATAAGTCTACCCAACTTTAATACTTAGGGCACCTACACACTGCAAATGTGTGGTGGATGAAGGGGACAATAGTTCCCCCATTATTATTTAGGTCTCACGCCCACCACTTATAGGTGGTGGCTGAAGGAGGACACTAGGTACCCTGTTTCATTTAAACATTCAATTTATTTAAGAGACCCCACCTTTGCTCCACCCCGATAATTATTTAAATAGGTGTCCAACCATAGCTGCCCAGTTGCTATTTTTTTTTTATAACTGCTTATAGTAGATATGCCCCTACTAAAGGGACAGCGAGTACAGGCTGGAAGGAGTATTTAACCTCCCTCATTTACTATTATTAAGTATTTTTTACTTAGAATTAGTAAAGTTGTCTGGAAGACAAAAATTACAAAAAGTCCATCCTTTTCGTTATTTTGGTCTTTCAGCTTCTTACTAGGTAGCTTCCTAATCCTTGTGAGATTGCCATACATAGTTCAATAAGGAGCTATCTACTAAGCATAGCTCCCTAATTTGGTACCCTTAAAGGGAAACTCCAGTACCAGGAAAACAATCAGTTTTCCTGGCACTGCAGGTCCCCTCTCCCTCCCACCTCCCAATCCTCGGTTGCTGAAGGGGTGAAAACCCCTTCAGTGACTTACCAGAGGCAGCGAAATGTCCCACATCGCTGCTTCTTCCTCCGCCGCCGCTCCTCCTCTGCATTAAGTCGGCCGGTGGGCGAGACTGATCTGCACATTAGAGCTCCCCATAGGAAAGCATTGAAAATACTTTTCAATGCTTTCCTATGGGGAATTGAGGGACGCTGGAGGTCCTCACACAGTGTGAGGACGTCCAGCGACGCTCTAGCACATGTTTTCTGTGCTATAATCCAGGAAGTGTCTAGCAGACCGCCACTAGAGGTGGAGTTAACCCTGCAAGGTAATTATTGCAGTTTATAAAAAACTGCAATAATTACACTTGCAGGGTTAAGAGTAGTGGGAGTTGGCACCCAGACCACTCCAATGCGCGGAAGTGGTCTGGGTGCCTCGAGAGTCCCTTTAAATATGGCAATCTCACAAGGGTACCTATTTAGGGAGTTATCAACTAAACTGCTGCAAGATGCAGACTTGGCATTGATCAGAATTTAATTCATGTCATCACAATGTCATTGTGTCATCACAGTCACATGACTCAGATCTGCAGGATTGATTACAAGGGGACTTTCTCGATTGTCAGGCAGCGGAGTTAGAAAGTGTCATTATCCCCTAACATTGTCAAAGTCCACGCCATTCAGGACGTAATGACAACCTAACATCAACATCAGGCTGAACTGTGATTAAGAAGAAGAACAATGTATCTTATTTACACAGACTGTTTTCTAAACACATTTATTGTAGATTAAAGGCACATCACTGTGAGTAGTATTGCTGTGGAGCTCTGTTTTACACTCAGACACACAAAAAGGGCAGCCCATAAAAAAGAGGGGCATTAGGATAGAAAAGAGAAACACAGGGGGTTGGGGCCCAAAATAGGAACTGTCCCTCTTAAATAGGGACACTTGGACATTATGGTTTAGGGCAGGGTATGTGCAGTTTGAAGGGTTATCATCACCCCCCCATGTCTTCTGTCTCCTAATATTTATATTAGAGCTATGTGAGCTGTATTTCATGTGTAGGAAGCTATTAGTTGGCATATGGGCAGTGATCCCTCCA